GTGTCCCACCGATACACATATATTCGGTCTTTTTTATGTTTATTTCCAAACCACCTTTTTTGTACTCCTCTATTAATTTCCTTGTCATATATTCTATATCATCGTACTCTTGCGCTAGTACAAGTTGGTCGTCTGCAAATGACAAAGTGTATATTATATTGTTGTTAATCGGTAATCCCATGTTTTTGCATTTGCGTTTCCAAAGTTTTAGAGTTTGCTCGAGGTAGATCTTAAATAATGTCGGTGAAAGGCAGCACCCTTGTTTTAGGCCTTTGCTAATTTGGAATCCTCTCGATAGTCCGCTTCCAACTTTCACCCTTGCTGCAGTTTTGGTATACAATTGTTTCGTCGCTGTTATTAAATTTGCGCTTATATTGGTTTTCTCTAATGCTTCCCATAGTTTGTTTTGTGGGATGCTATCATACGCTTTTCTCAAGTCCACATATAACAGATGCACCTCCTGGTTGACGGCCAGTTTCTTCTCAATAATCTGTGTAATACAAAACAGATGGTCTACCGTTGATCTCCCTGCCCGGAATCCTGCCTGTTCTTCAGCTTCTATATCTTTATATTCGTTTTCGATTTTATTTTTAATCAGTTTTCCGTATATTCGGCTGATCGAGTTCGTTACAGCGATGCCTCTGTAGTTGTCACATTGATCCCGGCTGCCTTTTTTATGTATGGTGGATATCCATGATGTCTTCCATTCTTCTGGGATTTCCGCTCCGTTGATGTATCTTTGAAAGAGTTTAGCCAGGTTTTCATATAATTTTGTTGTGCCATATTTTATTAGTTCAGCTGGTATGTTCCCTGGTCCTGGTGCTTTGTTATTTTTTAAAGACTTACATACTTCTTCTATTTCTTTTGTTGTTATTCGTAATGGTGAGGCTAAGATATTTACGTTGCTGGTATCACTGTTATTTAAAAATTCCGCTCTGTCCTCATTTAGGAGTTTTTTTTAAAATATTCGTCCCATTGATCCGGTGTGATTGATGATATTATATCTCTTTTCTTTTCCTGTCGTAGCGATTTTAATACTTTCCAACTTTCTGTACTTCTCCGTCCTCCTAAATGTGTGTTAATCATGTTACACTTCTGCTCCCAAGCCTTATTCTTCTTTTGGCATATCATTTTTCGCACTTTAGCTTGGGTTCTCTTGTATTCTACCTTATCAGCGTCGGTCCTTGTGTTCAGGAATTTTTTATACTTCTCTCTTTTATTTTTAATCTCTTGTTCTATTTCTTCGTCCCACCAATACGAAGTTTTTCTGTGGTTTTTTACTTGGAGTCCGAGAGCCTCTGTTGCTGCTTCCTAAAGACATGTTTTTATATAATGATAATGCTCTTCATTGCTGGTAAATTGCATGGTTTCTAACTTTTTATCTAGTCTACTCCTGTATAAAGTCCTCACGCTTTCTTGTTCTAAGCTGTTTAGGTTGTATTTCTTTTCTGTTAGTTTTTCTATTTCCTCTGCAGCTTCTTTTAAATCTCTTGTTCTATCTATTCCTATTGTGAGCTTTGTTTTTAATAGATGGTGGTCACATAATAAAACATATAATGAACTAATTAAACATCTAAGATCTAACAACATGACAAGAAAAACCAAATGCAAAATCCCTAATAAAACCGGTCCTTTTATATGGATCAGAGACATAGACACTGTCGAAAAGCGATGAGAACTTATTAGGTACGTTTAAACGAAAAATCCCTAGACACATATATAAGGGGGTGAAAGAAAATGACATTAATGATTTTAGTGGAATTTACTGTTTTAGGGAATATCTTCCCGTGAATTTGTGAATTTGGTCATAGTTTCATCAATAGACTGGTGGAAAGTCTCTGTTCTGACTTTTCCAAAAGTATTCTTCAAACATAAAACAGCTTCATCCAAGTAATACGTCTTACGTGATTTATTAGGATTTTAAAGATCATTTAAGGATTGATTCCAGATAGTACTCATAAGTAACAATATAGAGAAACTGCTGTACATACTAAAGTAACTTAAACAAAAATCTGCTAAAATCAGTTAAAAAATGAACAAAAGTCAAAGAGTATATATACTTAGGTCACACGATCAAACTAGGTAAACAGAATCAAATCGCAAAGATAACCAGAAGAATCCAAATGACTTGAACAACAGTAGGAAGACTCAGTGTTGTGTTAAAAAACAAAAATATACCAATAAATTAAAAGAAAAATGAGTTCAACAGTTGAATTCTACAAGTTGTAGCAGGACAAAGGTGGAAGATATTGGAAGAATTTCTACAATACAATGGAACTGTGTAGGACATATGGTACGACCAAACAACGAAAGATGAATGACACACATTATACAATGGATACTTAATGAGCACAGTCGTAGTAGGAAGATTACATGAGCACGCTCGTAGTAGGAAGACTAAAACAACGGTGGCTAGACATCAAAACAAAAGTAAGGAGAAACTGGCACCTTTTTTTCTTCTTTTTCTTTCTTCTAGTATGTAAGGTTTAAAGCCTGTTTCTTCTTCAATATTAGCCTCCTAAATTGTTTAAATTGTCGCACTATCTTTTTCTTGATCCACCAATACTCTTTCACCCATTTGGTAACTTATCTCGTGCTATTCGTACAATTCTATCCTGTGCCATTCTACTGATGTGTTCGTTTCACTCCTCTTTTCGTTTTGTCACCCATCCGTTTATTTCTTCTATATTGCATGCTCTTCTTATGTTTTCGCTTCTCTCCCTATTCAACAGACTTCCCCCTGATATTCGTCGGAGTATTTTCATCTCTGTTGTTTCTAGCAGTCGTCTCGTTTTAGATGTGTCAGGTCTTGTCTCCGCCGTGTATATTAATATAGGTCTAATTGCTGCTTTATAGATTCTTGTTTTTGTCTTTTGTCTTAGGTATTTGTTTTTCCAGATTGTGTCATTAAGAGAACCCGCCGCTTTACTTGCTTTTAAGCTTTATTGTCGTACTTTTTCTTAATTTTTTTCTTTTTTTTAATTTTTCTTAATTTTTCTCAACATCTTCTTAACTAAGTACATCTATTCCCAAATATATAAACCTTAATTCTTACTTTATTATTTTTCCATCAATTTCGATTTTACATCGTAATGGGTATTTAGATATTATACATTTAGTTTTTTCTGCTGATATTATCATATTGTATTTCTTGGCTGTTGTACTGAAGACGTGTGTTAATCTTTGTAGCTCGTCTTCTGTCTCGGCGATTAATGCAGCGTCGTCTGCATAATACAATATTTGGATTTCTCTATTCCTCATTCTGTAACCACGACCTTTACTTACTGCTTGTATAATTTCGTCCATTATTATATTAAAGAGAAGTGGGCTCAACGAGTCACCCTGTCTGACTCCGCTTTGTACTGGTATACACTGTATTAGTTTTCCATTTACCTTTGCCTGTATTAGATTATGGAGTTAGATGTTTTCGATTATTTGTGTAATATTGATTGGTATGTTTCTTTTATACGGTAGGTGTAAGACGTCTTCCACTTGGATGCGATCGAAAGCCTTTGTCAGGTCTATAAAACATAGATATGCTGGTTTATTCTACTCGATGGCCTTTCTGTGATTTGTCTTAGTACAAATACGGCGTCTACTCAGGATCTTCCGGATCTGAATCCTTGTTGTTCATCGGATAAAGTTTTTAGTTTATTAATTTTATTGGTTAGGACTTTTGTGGTAACCTTAAGTGAGGTGTTCAGTAGATTTATACCTCTATAATTGTTGGGGTCTTCTTTATCTCCTTTTTTGAATATTGTCATAATTATGCTGTTTCTCTATGCGTCGTTGGTTATTCCGTCTGGCCCTGGAGACTTCCTATTTTTGAGCGAATTTATGGCTATTTTGACTTCCTGAAAACTGATTTCGATTTCGTGTCTTAATTCAGGTTAATTTCGTGTCTTATTGTGTTATTATTATTTTCCTTTGCTTTAAACAGTTTTGTCAGGCATCTTTCCCATTCGAGAAACTGGCACCGAATATCACAAAACAGAGAGGAGTGGAGAACTCATAGGGAGTCCTTTATCCAGAAGTTTATACAAACAGGCTGAAAAAGAAGATGAAGAAAATATAAAGCAACCATAGTCCAAACCGAATTCTCTAATACCTTCAAATCGGAAATAAAAATATGCTAAAGATTAATAGTAGATATGTAATTCAAAGCCTTAAATAAATAAACAAAATATTACAACAACGTTTTGAATTCGTTTCCAAAATAAGAAAATAAACTTGGTAATATTGCATTTTTACTAAATTTATTGGTTCACATATAAAGCTATATCCTTTTCCCTGTGTTATAAGTTGTTTATTTTTGTAATATAAGAATAACTATTCAAAAGTAGTATTGGCGGCAACGATATACGTTTTGCCGATACTATTTTTATATACGACCTGTTTCGTAAAGAAAACGACTTTTACTGTGGTTGTTTGTCTTTTTCTATAGAACATCAAGCTACATTGTCGGAAAGCTGAAGCTACTTTATATAATGCAGTTGTATTGAATTGCTTCAAATACATCAGAGAAACTTATGGGCAATGTCGGTTTAACTTGCAAAACTCCGTAAAGTAGCACAAATGTGTTTTGATGCTTCTGCTTTGGATACTTCGATAAACAGTTACGTTGTTTGTTTATTTAAATCTATGTCAAATTAACAACTTGTAAGTTCTGATGTGCGCTTAATCGTTCAGTTGGTACAGATCAATTATGCGAGAAATTAGTGCAAAAAGTTTCTGCTTCAATCTGAAAGTCAATATAAGGTTACCTTTGCGTATAAAAACGCATCCTATTAAAGAGTTTATAAGTGAATACCGGCAAAATTAGTTTTAAATTTCCAGAAGGTGACACCAAAATTAGTACTAAGTTTTTAACAAACTAATATCAAAATAAATGCCCAAATTTGTCAATAGAAAGGAATGTGCTGATTTATTTGCAGCATAATTTTCTAAAATATCTAAACATAAGCTTAATATATATAATTTTTCACTTTCTAATAACCTGGCTACGTGTAAAATTGCTTGCTTTCCTTTTGAATCTCTATTTTTTTACGCCTCTCCTTTTCCTCTTTCTCTTTTTGCCTACGGTTGTCATTTTCCGCTTTCTCTTCTTGCCAACGCTTCTCATTTTCCGCTTTCTCTTCTTGTCTACGCTTCTCTTTATCTTTTTTTATTTTTAAAAACCATGCAGGGGGTCCGGACGTATCCATTTCTTTGTCAAACTCAGTGGATCTTGTATTTACCATTAACAACTGCTAAATATTTCTTTATCCCACCGCTGTCACCAACTGAATCTTTCCTCTGCAGTTTGCAATTTCCATCTTTGATATATCCTCTAGTAGTTGATGTTTACATCTTATTTTGGTCTTCCTCTTGGTTTATCTATTTCTAGTTTCTAGCTTGTTATCTTCCTAATCAGTACATTTTCGTCTCTTCTTTGTATGTGTCAAAACCGTCTCAGCCTTTGTGCCTTAATAAATTTTACTATGTCTTACGCTTTAGTTATATTTCTTATTTCATAATTCATTAGTCTTCTATATAATCCTTGTTCTGTCTTTATTGAGCCGTGTATTCTTCTCAAAATTTTTTATTTAATTATTCTTAGGTTTTTTCATCCTTTTTCGTAAGACAAATTACTTATACTCCGTATACTATCACCAGTCTAATTACCCGGGGTTCACCCGTGAACGCCGCCAAATCTGAGTAACCTTATCGGAGTTTGGGTAACCATCCCAAGTGGAAGGTAGGGTCAGGGTCCTTTCAAAATGTAGAGCTTAAAGAAAATCTCACAGGCATCTATAGAGAAGTAAAGTTTAAACCATATAAAACCATCAGACAATTAATAGCAACACATGACGCAAAAATTTCAATCATGACACAAAAAAAACAATAAACCATATTAATACTTGCGAAAGAAAGTTATTAGGAAGAATATTAGAACCCATTTACAATAATGGTATGTGAAGAATAAGGTTCAACCACAAGCCATATCTATATTACAAAGAATTCTCTTTAGCAAGTTATGTTAAAATACAAAGATAGCATTGGTCAGACCACCCTATAAGAATAGATAATAATAGAACACCTTGTAGGAGCTTGAAACACTAACTGGAACTATGGTGGGACTTCGACCAGTAAAAAAACCAAAGAAGCGGTGGATAGACGAAATAAGAGCCGATGCTAAATAGATATTAAGGGTGGATAACTGGAGGAGAGTAGCCAAGGGAAAGAATGTTGAAAAGCAGATTTTGGGAGAGGACAGGGCCCGACGTGGACTGTAGCACCATAGGAGGGAGATTAGATATATTATATACAGAGTTGTAGTATAGTACAGTCAACTAAATAACTACTATATTTAAAATGTCTATATTAAAATAAATTTTATTGTGTTTAATATATTCATTTCATTTGCTTTTAACAAAAAAAGGTTAAACATTCTTCTTCTTTTTAGGGTGACTGTCCGTTCCGAACGTTGGCGATCATTCTGGCTATAATGACTTTGTTAGTTGCTATACGGAATAGCTGTGTTGAGGTATTTCTATACCATGCTCTTAGGTTAGCAAGCCAGGATATTCTTCTTCGTCCTGGGGCCCTTGTTCCTTAAATTTTACCTTGCAAAATGCATTGAAGTAGCTCGTATCTGCCTTGATTTCTCATTATATCTCCCAAGTACTGGAGCTTACGGCCCTTCACGATGTTGATCAAAACCGCGGTTGTGTTCATCCTTCGCAGTACTTCTTTATTGGTGACTTTGTCTGTCCATGGTATCTTAAGAATTCTGTATAACCACAGCTCAAAAGCCTGAATTTTTTATACAGTTTCCGCCATCAATGTACACGTTTCTACTCCGTACAGAAGCACTGAGTACACGTAACATTTAAGGAGCCTTATTCTTGTTTCTAGGGTGAGGTCATGGCTCTTGAACACAGAGCTTATAGTCCAAAATGCACTTTCTTTTTGTCTTTCCAATAAGACATTTAATCTCTTGGGTATTGTCTTACTACTCATTAATTATAGTTCCCTAGTAGTTCTACTGTGAGACACGTTCAATTCTCATTTGTTTCACATACATATTTGCTTCAGTTATGTTTTATTTTGCGGATAATCATAAGCTTGGTTTCGCTGGTGTTTATATCCAGTCCATATGTTCTACTTGTTCCCGTTATTTTGTTCATTAAGTTTTGCAGCCCTTATAGTCAAAGGGGCATGCAAAAACATTACAGCTGACATCTCTAAATAACTGAAACAATATCTGCACGCTAAATAAAGCTTCCCTCGTACCAACGGCGTTCACAAATCCAAACTGATTGGGCGCAATTTGTTCCTCGCGTTTCCGGTAAATTCTTTTGTGGATGACTGTTAAAAACAGCTTCAGCAGATGGCTCATTAGGCTTGTGGTCCTATAGACTTTACAAACTTTTACTCCTGGTTTTTTTGGACAATGGTACGAACGCCGATTTGAGCCACTCTTCTCGTATTTTTCCTGCCTTGTATATTTCATTAAATATTTAATTATTATTTTTATTTGTTCTGCAGCTAGTAGCTTCAGCAGTTCTACAGGAATTTCATCAAGTCCTGGTGCCTTTCCAACCTTCATTTGTCTGACGGCTGCCATTATTTCTTCTGGTTCGTTCTTACTGAACATAATAAATATGAAATTAATTTTATTATTATTCCGGTTTTTATAGCGTTCTCTGCCTTCCGGTTCCGAGTTTCCAGCTACGTCGGTCAGAAAACACTGCTGTATCATCTGCATGCCGCAGGTTATTGAGCTTGACTCCATTTATTGAGATGCCTTCATCAATCTCTTTTAGAGCCTCTTCAAAAATGTGCTTCAAGTACAGATTGAATATCAGTGATGAAATTATGCATCACAGTCTCACCCCCTTTAAGATTTTGACCTGATATGTATAATATCCATCTATTCGGAGCACCGCTAATTGATTCCAATACAGGTTTGCTATCATTTTTAAGTCTTTTCCGTCAATCCCTGTCCTCTTCAGCACTTCCATCATTTGTTCGTGTTTAACTCTATCAAAAGCCATCTTATAGTCAAAGGGGCATGCAAAAACATTACAGCTGACATCTCTAAATAACTGAAACAATATCTGCACGCTAAATAAAGCTTCCCTCGTACCAACGGCGTTCACAAATCCAAACTGATTGGGCGCAATTTGTTCCTCGCGTTTCCGGTAAATTCTTTTGTGGATGACTGTTAAAAACAGCTTCAGCAGATGGCTCATTAGGCTTGTGGTCCTATAGACTTTACAAACTTTTACTCCTGGTTTTTTTGGACAATGGTACGAACGCCGATTTGAGCCACTCTTCTCGTATTTTTCCTGCCTTGTATATTTCATTAAATATTTAATTATTATTTTTATTTGTTCTGCAGCTAGTAGCTTCAGCAGTTCTACAGGAATTTCATCAAGTCCTGGTGCCTTTCCAACCTTCATTTGTCTGACGGCTGCCATTATTTCTTCTGGTTCGTTCTTACTGAACATAATAAATATGAAATTAATTTTATTATTATTCCGGTTTTTATAGCGTTCTCTGCCTTCCGGTTCCCAGTTTCCAGCTACGTCGGTCATTCCATTCGCCAGGGTGAAGGTTTCTTTCCGACATTGCCTTCTGAATACCGCCCAGCCAGGATTGTTTTGGCCTTCCTCTCTTCCTTCTTTCCCTTGGCGTCCATTTTAAAATTTGGTTTGGCAGCCTGTAGTCGTCCATTCTTTTCACATGACCATACCAGATCAGTTGTCTCCTTTGAATTTCGTCAATGATGGTTGACTTGACTCCCATTATATTTCTGATATGGTCATTTTGTATTCTATCAAGCCTTGATTTTCTAGCTGATCTTCTCCAGAAGTCCATTTCCAATGCAAGTAGGCGTCGCTCTATCACCCTTTTTCCTTTCACGATTCTTTGCTCTATCTCTTTTTCGGTGCGCCCACTCTTGTTGATTGTTGTTTCCAATCCGATGTTGTTGTTTATTTAAATAGATCTTAAATAGTATTGGAGAGAGGCAGCATCCTTGTCGTAAGCCTTTTGTTACTGGAAATTCTTCTGATAAGGTGTTGTTTAGTTTGATTTTTGATGATGCTTTATTGTATAATTGTTTGATTGCGGCGATGATCGTGCTATTTAATGAAGATCGTTCAAGAGACTGCCACATCTTTCTCACAGGAATCGTGTCATATGCTTTTGTGAGATTCACAAATAAAAGATTTATTTCCTGGTTTCCTGCAACTTTCTCAATCATGTTTTTTAAGATTTTACCAAACAGCCTGCTAAAGGTACTGGTGACTGAGATACATCTGTAGTTTCCGCAAATATATTTTGGACCTTTTTATGAATTGAAGTAATCCATGCTTCTTTCCAACTATTCGGGATTTCTTCTCCATTTAAGTATCTTGTGAATAGCACAATTATTAATTGTGAAATTTAATTCCATATATTAAATTAAACACAAATTAAATTATAAAATTTAAAAATTGTTTGATGCCCATTGATCATCGCCTCATAATTACTAACCGGTCTTCTTATATGGCTTTGTCGCAATATGCTTGTAATAATAAATTTCTTTTCGCAAATATACATATTATTTGCTTTTAATTTCCGATATAACACAAAACTCATATTATTTCCCATAACTGTGCGTAATTTAATAATTGCTGTAAAATATAGAATTACCACGTGTAGAAAAAAAATTATTAATGTTTTGTCTACAAATAAAAATTTATTAACATTTATTTCCGTAATACTTCAACAAAAACAAAACCAGCTGTTCTATTAAACTATTTTCTTAAATTATCTAGTGCTGGTATAAATTTAACTACAATTCTCTACTGTCGTCTAAACTTTAATCCAATCATTGTTTGGCTGCTCAGCCAACGCGAGCGGTTAGTTTACGTTACTAGACAGCAACCGTAGATTTTTCTACAACTAATGAATCACGAAGCCAACCGTTATTCAGGTGGGACTGCCAAAAAATTTGGATAAAATATATTATGAAAACAAATCAAAAATGAATAAAAAATTGCTCAGCTTAACAATTTATTTTAATGAGTATTTTACAAATTATACTAAAACATGGTTTACTATACCGTTATTAAATATGTTAGCCTTTGAAAAAATGATATTTTACAAGTGCAACAGTTTATAATCTTCTGAATATAAGACATCTTACAACTCTATTTAAATGGTATGTAAAATAAATCGATATGGATAGAATTTGATTCCTTGGATA